TAAAGTAACCATTTCAGAGTCATTTTATCGGCCAAGTCGTGCATCCTAAGCGCTGCAATTTTATGCATCAGGTCGTGGGAGACGTTCACTCACAACGCTTTGTCGCTTACACATCCAAGCAGGTGGAGCAACATGTCCCATTTTCTCTAGCCCATAGCTTGGGCCACAAGGAAGCCCATAGCCCATGACCCTCTTCAGTGTCTCACAAATCAGGACGACGGAGTTTGGTGGCCCTGCCACCGGTGGGTCGCTGGGCCACCTTGGGTCACCACGGTCATTTTTCGTTCAAATAATACAATTTTTTGTGTGTAGGAATCATTCAGCAGCCTGAGTTCGCCAGACAAGTTCATTTTTCAATGTGACCTTTCGCCTTTGTGATATTACAGGTCTAAAGTAACCATTTCAGAGTCATTTTATCGGCCAAGTCGTGCATCCTAAGCGCTGCAATTTTATGCATCAGGTCGTGGGGGACGTTCACTCACAACGCTTTGTCGCTTACACATCCAAGCAGGTGGAGCAACATGTCCCATTTTCTCTAGCCCATAGCTTGGGCCACAAGGAAGCCCATAGCCCATGACCCTCTTCAGTGTCTCACAATTTCCTTTCTGATCCCTTAAAGGAGAGCATCTATTGTCTTCTTAAGGGTATCGTGGCGTCATAAACATGCCACGTAAGAGGAGAATAGCCGTTTCTGGTGAAGCAAAGCGCGAAATTTGGCCAAGCGTCAACGGGATGCGCGTGCAGAGGAGACTGAGGAACAGCAAACTCAGAGACGCTTCATACACACTAAACGCATGGCCATGCTTCGCGCGAATGAGACTGCCGAACAGCAGGCTGAAAGACGCTCGGCGGATGCGGCAGGGCATTCAGCTTCCCGAGCTGCCATGACAGCCGAAGCGCGTCGTGAGCAGAGAAATGCCGCGCAACAGCGAATGCTTGCACGAGGTAATTGCACACGAAATGTGGCCGTTTCTGATTCGATCGATGAATCACAAGTCGAAGAAGATNTTTTCAAATGAATAAAATCAAAGGACGATAAAGACCATGTATGAATTCAATATACCGGTAAATACAACTCACGTATATACAACGTGTCCCATACAGCAGTTTATTGGCGGATTTTTAGCTGTTCTCGCTATAATTACTTGTTGAGATCTTGTTTTTGTTATTAATTAGCATCATTGTAACCGTTTTTTTCTGTTTATTCTTCGTGGAGGAAGCACGCCTAAAAATGTATTCTTGACATTCAAATTAATAACGCAGCTAATAAGTATTTAGGAATGTTGAAAATTTCTTGTAATATTTCTCATGGTCTGAAACATCGCACATTATATAATATACTATTTCATTAAGTAATTTAAACGTTATTTAGTTAATTTCCCTGATGCTACTTTTTTAGTGTTCTCCAGTGAATCGGAACAGGCAGTTTCTTGGATATCAACGATGCCCTTTACATATGATTGCTAATTATATATTTCTATTTGATAATTAACAATTATTCATGATGGAAAAGTTTCCTATATGCACCACACGTCGAATGATGTATGTTATCAATGAATCCGAAGCCCTTGATAAGTATCATAGTTTGCGTTGGTGCGCATTATATCTGCTAAGGGTATGGAAAAATTAATCAATGCAATGTGATGTAGTGCGCATCTTACTTCATTACTACTACCGCACGTTCAGCAATGGGCAGCACGCAATACGGAGAGCGAGGGAACCCCTTTTCGATGGAACAGAAATTATAAGATTGTAATGGAGAACGGTGAAGATTAAGAAAAATTAAACAATACGAATTAATGAGTGTGATTTATGTATGCCTGAGAGTGCGAGACAAAACTGTGTCATGATCTAGTTGGATTTCAACACCTTTACTTCAGAGGTCAACTCACAAGCGACCGGCATTAATCTGAAGTCAGGAATTAGGAGTATATCAAGAGTATAGGAATTGCGCGGAGGCGACAGCCTCCTTAGAAACGATACCATCGCCTGAGTAGACACCCCTACAGTTTCCCGAAACATACGGAAATACGTGTTAATGCCATTCATTGATCTCACCTCAAACTTCACATTTTTCAGTCATTCAATATGGCGGTTAAATGTACATGAAAACAGTTTCTTCCTTTCTAATGACTATTTGCAATAATGATCCTAACACACAGAGGCAAAAAGGCAGAAACAACCGCGAAAAAAATTAACAAAAATTGCTTAAATTATTGAAAATTTAAAAATGCAGTGAAAAAGATTTCGACTCCTTAATAGTTCCATCGCTGGACCAGGCATTGCAAGCTCACTCCATTTCTCCTTGGTAACGCCTGTCATGTATTGACGTGGGCCGAGGAAAAAGTGCGTTACAGCAGAAGCGAGGAGGATTAATCGACTCCAATGCCACTTAACATGTATGCAGAAGGGGACGAAACGGAGTCTGAGACTGTCATGCCACATGAAGAACTGCAGGCAACGAAACAGAGAAGACACGATATTATATACTAGCGAGTTTGTTTGCCCTTCGGGCAAACAAACTCGCTGTGGTCGCGCCTTCGGCGCTTCATTACCATGGATAGTGCTTAATTCATTTATTCTTTGCGAAATGGCAAACACGTACTTAAAGTACGTCCCATTGGAATATGTGACATATGGGGACGAAAGTCCTCATTTTTATCAAAATCATTACTTTTATTATTTCTAGTGTGCCTAACTTGACATCTCTTCGTGTGTCCCTTTTTGCAAAGGTGGAGAATACATTTTCAAATACTTCCTATAATCTATGCTCATGAGGCATATTTCAAAAGTAGGATTTTTCCTGTACTCAGCCGTAAAACAGGTACTTCTGAAGGGAATTTTTAATTTTCCGTTTCTGTTTCGTTGCTTCGAAAAATAATTCACGAAAATGGGACTTAAAAAAGTGGCCTGATTTTTTTTTACCAAATTTTTATTATTTTTCTGAAATATAGACTCAGGGAACTCTATGCCACCCACTTTTAGCCTTATACGTTTTCCCATTTTGCTGGCTGTAAAAAATATATTTGGAAAGGCAACCCTCCTAAAAGCTGTTCTCTGGGGAGACGCTCAGCAAGAGTTGAATTTTTCCTCAAATCAACATAGCGTCATATTTTTCAACATATTTTTCTTTTTCTGCCCGTTTCGCGGGATGTTTGAAATTTTATTGAAAACGTTACGTCCTCAAGAAATATGCCCAATTTTTTTTTGAAATTTGACATTTGACATTTGAGCTGAGTGCTTCACCAGTCACGTTCTTGCCATGTTACAGATTTCCATGGTCTTCCATGGGTTTCATTAAAGCAAAGAGAACTAATTGAAAATATGTTCCCCGAAAAGGTGTGCCCCTATGGCGTCTATCACCAAAGTGTAATTTTTCCTGAACTCAGATTGTGAATAGCTACTTATGGCAGTCAGCTACTCACGATCATCTATATATAATATGAAAGTAGAATTGTTTCTTTACTCAGCTACTCATCTTTCCCTTTCTTTGCCAAGTTCAACCTTTCTTGCAATCTCCGTTTTGCTGGATCCGAAATTTCAGAAATTTCAGGAAAGCCAACCCACCCAAATACTATGCCCGGAGAAAATACACCATGAGAGCTGAATACTCCCTCAACTCCATAAGATCACGTCACTTATACGTGTGCCAAGTCTCACCTTTCCATTTCTGTCCAATTCGCCACGACAATTTTCTTTTTTTAAACATCGCCCCTCGAGTAATTCTCCCCTGGGGATGTATCAAGGCATAACATTTTTCTTCAACTTCTTATCTTGGTAGTCACATTCATGCAAAGTTCCAGCTTTCCATGTCCAACGGTTTAACTATTGCAAAAAATTTCTTTGAAAACATCTCCCTTTGAAATTCATGCCCCCAGAGCATTTTCATTCCAAAGTCTGAATTTCTTTGCACGCAACTACCCGGAAGGTAATTCTGTACCAAATTTCATCTTTCCCCACTAGCTCAATACACCAGAACAAAAAAAAAAAACACTTAAAAACGTTGGCCCCAAAAAATATGCCCCCAGGGCATGGATCTAAAATGTTGCATTTCTCCAGAACCCATCGTGTCTGTAGGCACATGTATGGCACGTTTCAGCTTTCTATTTCTCTCCGTTTTCCTCAAGCCACGGGACATGGAAGGCAAGAGAAGCCAAAAAAGGGCATGGTATGGGTGGGAATTGAACCCTGGCCTCGCGATTACGGATTGGATGTGCTACCACTACACCACCGAAACGGCGATAAGTAGATGTACCTCTCAAAGACATCCTTATCCATGACGACATATATATTTCAAAAACTTCTCCACCCAAAATGTGTACCCCCAGGGCATGTACCTCCAAAGTCGGATTTTTTCTGAACTCTGCAACCCAAAAGGTACACGTGTACCAAGTTTCAGATTTCTAACCTATCTGGAACATGGTTAGAATTAGCGTCAGTCAGTCAGTCAGTCAGTCAGTCAGTCAGTCACGATCGGCTATATATATTAGATCCTTTGGCACATACATAAGACTTGAAAAATGTTTCTCATATTGTTTTTATTTTAGCGTCTCGCAATCTTTGAACAAATGAAACACTGGAGGGGAGAATATGCCAACGGACACAATAATTGAGTCCCAGAGAGTGTCAATTGGTTCATATTGGAGGCAGCCTGTGCGACACTCAACAATGAGTCAACAGGTCATAAATATTTAAATGTATCCACAGATGTAGTAAGATCTACAACATGGCACAAGGTAAAAATGTAAAGGTATGCATGGTGGTGTACAGCCTTTCAGAAAATGAGGCATTGCCCCTTCCAAAACCCCTTCTTCGTGGTCGTTAAAGCTCCCTCCTAGCAACAGTGTGGTGAAATCCTAGCTACGGGATAGAAAATAAAATGGTGCACCTTCATAAATCACGATCATACCCGAAGTAAACCTGAATCGATGAACTGCGCCGTTCGAAGAAGCAGGGAACGGACAGTGAAGGAAAAAGCAGACTCTCGAGTGCTCTTGCCCCTAGCGGGTGGGAAACCGGTGAAGGCGTCCACGCACCGTCACCGATTCGTTCATCACCGTTTTCTCGAGTGAAGCACCTTATCAGTGTCACTACAGTTATTCTGTCATCTCCAGACCTTATTCGTACGTTTCGGGAACGAACATTATAACGTTAGTACTTTTACGAAGCGGCCGTTTCCCGTTTTCCTCCTTCCTCCGTTTTCTTTTTTTTTTTACTGACTCTTATCCATTTTGATTTGAAGTTGAGCGATAATAGCGTCGGCATTACCGCATTGTGCTGGGTTATTATTAGATAGAGCCAGCCGACACAGAGGACAACTATGTACTATCTCCCAAGGTTATATATTAACATGTCAGCATTAACTCAATTGTAGGAATAGGATTTCTGTGTCCTCACAGGGCGATGGACTATTCCTTGGTGCTGGCAGCGCTTTCCAGCCTCTTCTGGGTCGGATCAGCATTCGAACCAATGGTTTACTGGGCCATACATTCCGGGCAACGTTACGGACTTGCATCAGTCGAGATCACCGTCGACTTCGAGGCATGCGACGCTATATGCGCCCACTACGGGAAATCCCTGCCGTGCCACGCCTTCAACTTCAGGGAATCGGATGGCACCTGTCAGCTGGTTTACGAGGGTGGGGGCCAGCTCGTCCCTGCGGAAGGGTTCCATGCGTTTCTCAAATGTGAGTGGCGCATAGAAGTTTATGGGTCGCTTCCTGCCATTTTTTTTGTAAATTTCAAATCATGATAAAACATGTATTTGGGGATGAATCGCTTTGACACCAATCCTATAGGATAACCTCACGAATGCACGAAAATATGCATATCTCGGAAGGTATTTCACCGTTTTAGGATATTACATTCCTTTATGCAGTTCTACAGTTCCCGTCACTATTTCAATATATTCAAATCGTGCGTGATGAGATATATAAACAGCTTTTCCTTGCGAACGAGAACAGTTTCCTGTGTGGCGGACGATTCAAGAATGGAGGATATTGGCTTTCGAGTTCTAAACTGGAACGAAGTCGACCGAGTTGGGCAGGAAGGCACTCTTCAAGCGCTGGAAAGGTTTCACCAACGGAATAGCCAGGCACAAGATATCCTGTACATGCCGTGCGACACGTGTGTGGTATACGAAGAAGTCGAAGCAGGAAGAACCTGTCCTCTGCCATCCTTCAGGTGAGAGGAGAGAATCTTTCTCCTAGGTGATATTGAGCACGAGAATATTAATGCGCAATCGAGAACCTGGGATTTGTTCCAGGATGCTTCGTAGTTAACGGGCGGATGTAAACGCCAGGCATTGGCCGTTTTTGAACACTGGTTGTTTCTTTTATATAGAATTATTGGCAAGAAAACCAAGTCAATCTATTCAGTAACGAAACGTAATGTTCAAAGTGAGAGAAGCTAGACGAGCTGTGAACAAACTCTTTGTTTAAACCCCACTCATGGCTTGACAAAAATGAAATATTTTGTATCACTTGACACATGAACAAAAACGTGCCCAGAAATTCTAAATATCAGTGAATACATGAATGTATGAGCAAATGCACCAGTGGAGACACTTATGATGGCCTAACCTATAGATGGACGCTTCGCCTAATATAGCGCTTATGTACGTTCTCCTTTCAAGGAAGCGGGCATTTTCATTCTTGCTTCCTTGAAAGCAGAAAGTTAGGCTTGTACGTAATTAACTCAAATGCAAGCAAAAAAAACTTTTGCCAAAGTAACTCCCATGAAGAGGTTTTTTTTCTATTCAGGACATGCCGTAAGAACTTGAAATCAACATTTAATTGCGAAATTGAATAATCATTTGCTGATTGCGGCGAAATTCACGCGGCTGCTTTAGTTCATCATGACCAGTTTAACGTGACATCCACAGATATGGTAGTTTATAGGTAGTTGCGTACATTCTCTCATCTCGTGGTTTCTTTGCTCTAAATGTGCTTGAAAGGCGAATATAACTTGCGACGAATATTACTACTAACAGGATGATTCGGAGAGGAACGAAAAGAGGAGCAAGTGGAAGAGAAACTGGAATTGGAAGAGCTGATGCAGGAGAAGATATTGACAGAGTGAGAGGAGTTCGAGTAGGAAATGCCATGGAAAGATATACTGCAGGAGCTAGAGCCATCAGGGACACCGCAACGAGGAAGACCGAAGGGACTTCAAGAGCACCAGCGGCAGGGCAAAAAATGGGACCTACGGGAACAACAGCAAAAGGAACAACAAGAGCCACGACAAGAGGAACAACAGGAGCCACGACAAGAGGAACAACACGAGCTACGACAAAAGGAGCTGCTAGAGGCACGACAAAGAAGCCAACTGGAGGCAACACAGGAGGTGCAAAAGGGAACAATCTAGGATCAATTCTTGATGCAATTGCAGCAGCAGCAGCCTCAGGAGTTCTTACAGAAGAATTTGCAAGCAAACTTGACAAATTATCAGAACAAGTAGCAAGACTAGGAGGATTCCTTCCAGTAGAAGCATTATCAATTCTTTCAGATTTCGTCAACGGCATTCTAGGAGTAGCACCAGATGGAACACATGGAGGAACTTCCGTAGGATCACCGCGAGCCACGACAGGAGGATCGGCAGGAGCCACGACAAGAGGAGCTGCTAGAGGCACAACAAAGAAGCCAACTGGAGGCAACAAAGGTGGTGCAAAAGGGAACAATCAAGGACCAATTCTTGATGCAATTGCAGCAGCAGCAGCGTCAGGAGATCGTACAGAAAAAATTGCAAGCAACGTTGACAAATTATCAGAACAAGTAGCAAGACTTGCAGGATTCCTTCCAGTAGAAGCAGTATCAAGCCTTTCAGAATTTGTCAGCGAAATTCTAGGAGTAAAACCAGATGGAACACATGGAGGAACTTTCGAAGGATCACCGCGAGCCACAACAAGAGGAGCTGCTAGAGGCACGACAAAGAAGCCAACTGGAGGCAACACAGGAGGTGCAAATGGGAACAATCAAGGATCGATTATTGATGCAGTTCCAGTAGCAGCAGCCTCAGGAGATCTGACAGAACAACTTTCAAGCCAAGTAGCAAAACTTGCAGGATTCATTCCAGAAAATATTCTATCAGGCCTTTCATATTTTGCAGGCGACATTCTCGGAGCAGCAGCAGGCGGAACAGATGGAGGAAGTTCCGAACGAGCAAGACAAGCCTGCTTCCTTTTCCTGTCCCTCAGTCTCGGACTGAATTTCCTGCGGCATTTGTTGTCCTTTCGTGCGTGATTAATTTATTTTTGAACACGGGGACCCTGAAACGTTTGATTTTCAGTCTATATTATAGTTCCGCTCAAATCATTCTTTTGTTTATTAACTGCAATACTTATGTTTCATTCCATACTCTCTACTGATTCCATACTGATTGGATTGGTTATTGAAAGATATCCGTACTTGGGTGCCTATTGGATATTCCCTTAAACCAAGATTCAACTCATGTCTGAAAACGATTTGGTGACCTCGTTTTCCTTGACCTCCTCAGTTTTTGTTCCTGTCTTTCCTGGGACCAGCGCTTTAGCTTGCTTGCTGTTTTGCTTGCTTTGAGAACGTAAGGGTTTTCCATTGCACTTTCCCAATGATTTCTACTAAGGCACATTTCGACTTTCATTGAATTTAATCACGTTGTATTTCTCGTTCTAAAACCGAGCCGAGCAAAATTACTACTACGACGATCAATCACTTCTTCCTGCGTGACGATTTGAATGCTACAGGAATTCTCCGATATCCTGATTTCATAACCGACGCGTTTAAACTATTGTCCCTCTTTACTTGATAATCCGGGAACAGCAACGATTTCAATCACATGTTTTTTTCCTTCAGAATACGTTGTAATGAGCTATGCGTTTCTTGGGGTTTGAATAAAAAGAATCCAATGACGAAGCGGTCTGTGTAATGTCCATCATTCCCTCTCAAGGGAATTTTCTTTTAGCGTTTTACCTTTCTTCCTAAAGTTTCTATTTAAAAAATCTAATATATTTTTGCGCATACGGGGATGGCCATAAATTTTCACCAAGAATCGAGGTCTTGTATTTCCTGTACTAATATTTTATTATGGAATCAATTAAATTTCAACTAAGACACAAGGGCTCACAGTAACTGCTCACAAAATATGCTCGATGTGTCCCCGTTCTTCTTGACGGCATCCAGAAATCGCGAAGTCTGCCGGTCAATCGCAATGGACAGACGGCTTCACTTATCTTTTGACTTAAACCTTAAACGAAACGTCAATCCCTTGAATGGAGAACAGCAAATTCACCGAGACAGAAAAATCCCGAATATCGAAGTCGAAAATCAAGACGATACTGATTTGTGTTTTTTTTTCATATCAACGGAATCATCCACTCAGAATTCGTTCCAGAATGAGAAATAGTCGACGAGATGTTTTACAAAAACGTTTTGAAGAGGTTCCGTGAGGCTGTGAGGAGGAAAAGGGGCGATCTGTGGACGGAGAACTCGTGGATCCTGCGTCACGATAACGCGCCGACTCAAACGATCCTGTCTATCCGTGAGTTTTTCGCCGTCAAACGGATCGCTGAAATGGATCACCCGCCGTATTCGCCAGGTTTACCCCCCAGTGACTTTTGGCTGTTTCCCAAACTCAAAATTTTTTTAAAGGTCACCGATTTCAAAGCATTGAAGACTTTCAAACAAATGTGGTACAGCCTCTGAAATACATCCCAAAAGAAGACTTCCACCGATGTTTCCAGCATTTGCTGCATCGTTGGGATAAGTGTATAAGTTCTGGAGGGGAGTACTTTGAAGGCGATTGATGTGATTAATTTGTAAATTAAAAAATTAATGTAAAAAAATTAAGTCCGGAGACTTAATCGGCACACCTCGTATATAAAAAACTTCGAAAAAGCATTGAAAAACCGAAGGAAAAAGAGTCTGTGCGTAATAAACCAAGAAAAATTATCTGGATATATTTCTCAGGAGCCACTCTGTCTTTGTGATCTTCAATCGGGGGCGGAACCCGTTGCAATACCTCACGGCAGTGTATCGTGTTTCTCTATGCAAATTGCGGTTCAAATGAACGATGGGGAAAGCAAAAAACGAAGCCGTAATATTTCGTATCAGCAGTGCCACGTTTCCTCAACCCCACATTTCGACCTATGTATCGGCCTCGATGGCAACGTCCAGGGGAGTGAATCAATCCAGGGTCAAAGTCCGTTTCCTAGAAACGTTCCAAGCTTCCCAAAATCAATGTTTCTTAAATAAACTAAGGTCCAGCGAAACCATATTCATCACGATCTTTTCGCCCACTTAACCGAGGAAATACACTTGAATGCCATGGAACTAGTGGTGAAAGAAGAGACAGGTTCTCATTGACACGTTCTAATAGCAGGTATGGATCTGGTGAAGGCGTCCACCTGCATGCGGTGAGCCGACGAACTCCTAAGGGAAGCGGGTCTTCAATCGAGTGGAGAAAATCTGACATTCATCCAGCGAGAATGTTTCCTCAAAGGTACATTAGTCATTTAAAGAAGGTATGTTGCCTTCCTGGTTCAAGACCACAACTGAATGCACTTCAATTTAATATATTGCATCTTCGGTTTTTCTGATAGACATGAATACATTCTCCTGAAGGAAAATGCTCAATGAATATGTTTGTAATTCGTTTGAAATACAATACGCATCGCAATATACGAAGTACATTTTTCTCCCTGATTGTCATTACTACTGTCCTTAAACATAATTTTTGGAAGGAAAACTTTGACAATTTTATATTGCAATGGTCTTGAACTAGGAAAGCGATTAGCTTAATTTAAAAAAAGAAAAGGAGGGAACGCCTCCTCCATGATCGCTGATGACGTCCCTCTGTCGTCATGAAAGCCCTCGCCTAGGGCCTTCCAGTGAAATCCTAGCGACCGTAGTGGAAACTTCTGGTGGGCCTTCATAAATCACACTTATTACGGAAAAGAACATAAATCGACGCGTTTGTGTGTCGTCGCGAATGTTCTCCCTAAGAAACATCGTGGGGAAATCCTGGCAACGGTACTGGATACGTAAGGTAGACCATAATCCATCACGCTCCTGGGGAATGTAAACCTGAATCGATATAACACATCTGTCGAATAACCACAATTCGGACGATGCAGCATAAAGCAGGCTCCAAAAAGCCTGTGCTGGTGGCCTATGGCAATCCATCGAAGACATCAACATCCAAAATGTCTCCTGACTCATTCCGTACGTGCTGACACCGAGCGTCGTATTTTCAGAGTGCTAAAAAAGCTCCCATGAGGTTGGGTTTATATTCATGCATCGCATATATTTTGGTTCCTAAGAGAGAGGAATTAACGTCGCTGTTAGCTCATTACAGCATGGGATTTTCAAATAAAGAAAATCACCGGACGATTAACACCATGTATTAATGAAATATACCAGTAAATACAACTCACGTAAGTATTAATACAATGTGTCCCATACAGTAGTTTATCGAGGGATTTTTATCTGTTCTCGCTATAATTATATTAATTAATGGCAATTGTGTAATGTTCACTTATGACCTATCGTCATGAGTGACATATCGTCATATCGCGCGACTGCTTTCTTGATCTTCGTGTGACCAACTGGTCGGAGTGACGCCGACGGCCACGATGAATCCGACGGACCCACGTTGTATTCAAGTTCTGATGAAGAGCTCCGAATATTCATGATATACCAGTACAATAGTGAACATGAGTCTCTTAGGCGATGAAGTGCGAAGAAAGTCATGCCCCATTCTATTACCTATATCTCTTAACCTCGTGCAGTGACTAGATCGAAATCACCCATCTTGCCAGGACACATTCAGCGGAGATCAGGAAAATCATGCCCCCACCCCCACGGAAGATTAGCCTCGTGAATCATATTTATCTGAACTGATGCAACGATGAGGAGGGTCTTCCTGCATATCGGACTGAGACTGGGGTCCATCGTGGGCTCTGTATGATCCAGAGATCCAAGCGATGATGCTGCCAATTCGGATTTTATTGGTGCTATCTCGATTTCCTTGCTGCAAATGATCATTCTAGGTCATTATCTGTAAAGCCTGCAAAATTCCTAATCCAACTCCATCGACTATGGTCACAAGGGCACTGTAACCATCCCACATGACTTCATAGTCACACCGTATATTCCAATATTTTTTAAGATTTTCTACTCGCATGAGGTGAAACTTGCAAACATCCAAAAAATGAGCGGAATAGAACTTCGCCAATCAAGAATGAACCTGTAACTGCAGACCACATTAGATCCAATGGATCTGTGGGGAAAATGCAATGAAAATGGGCTGAGATTAGTCATGCATCAATATCGAAGTCTTCTCCTCATGAACTTGAAGAATTTCCGGATTTTTGCAAATATTGTATTCTTAACCATGTTAAGACAACCTTCAGGTCGCGAGGAACATTTCAGCAGACGTTGGCGAAAATCAACCTCACCTAAGAATAGAAAGTATTAAGTAATAATTATTAGGCTGACCTATGTATCTGATTTCGAAGGACAAAAGGAGTGAAAAGTTGCTACAAGGAACATCTGAGCGCTAAAATTTGCTGAACGAATATTTGTAGAAACAGTTTGGAAGTTGTTTCGTGAATTTTATGGGCTCTCCATACATCTTAATATTAAATCAATAGGCTTTGGTAACGTCTATTACCTTTCTTCAACCCCTTTCCGCCTCAAAATACAACCTCCTCCTATTCCTCTTTGAGAATATCAACAGGAACTAAATTCGGCATACTTCTTCCTCTCTCACCACAGAATCGCCCCAGCAAATTCGAAGCGCCATCTTCCCAGGGTTGTGGAGAACGCTGAATCTCGTTTTTGAAGAATGAATTTCATTCTTTTTTTTAACTCGGGGTGGGGGAGAAAGAGAAAAATCGGAGAAAAGAGACAAGCCATAGAAAGATATTGACTCGTAGATGACGAAGAGTGTCTTTATTGGTGTTTGCAATGCTCCATTTCACCATTAAAAAAAATGAAATTAGCTGTCGTTCAATTAGGCTTGGAGTGCTTGCTACGGTATCGTCCCCCAGCGTTGCCAGATACCGTGCCAAAATTATGCAAGATTGAAGACTATTCCAACCTTCGTATAGTCGTCTAGATCTTCTGTTTTTTAATGTATCAAATATTTTTGTGCTGACTTCATGAGATGAGTTGAGAAGGAAGCTGTGGTTAGCAGTTGTTGATCGATATGGTGGGATATGCAGATATATTATCCGGACATCCCTGAGTTAACAACATGGCGC